TATTATATTCTCATTTATTTTTGTATGTTTTATACTTACAATTTTAATTTAACTAAATAAGTTTGTACTTTTATTAAGTAAAACTAAAACTAAAACTAAGATTGAAATTTATTTTTATTTGTTTTATAGTTTAAATATAATGTAATTAAAATTTTACATATTTTATTTTTTTAGAAATATATTTATTTTGATTTGTAAGATATACTTTTGCATTTGGCAATATTGTGTAATTAATATATAAAATAAATCTTTTTTTTTTAATTTTTGATTTCTTTTATTTTTTTTCTTGTTAAAACTTTTATTTTCAGACCAAAAACGGTTTGAATATAATTTAATATCACGACAATATATCCAGCGTATGTTTTGAAAGTCACAAATGAGTATATCATATTCAGACCAAAAACGGTTTGGATATATTTTTAGAAACGGACAAATTGGCACTAAAATTTTTAAAAGTTACAAATGAGTCCATCATATTTAGACCGGTAACGGTCTGGATATAGTTTCAGAAACAAATAGATTGGCATTGTAATTTTTAAAAGTTACACATGAGTCCATGATATTTGGATCGGTAACGGTTTGGATATATTTTCAATAACCACTTTCGGCCAAATATACAGATCGTTTTCTGTCCGTAATTATTATATTATTTTATTATATTATTTTGTGCGGACCAATGTCGGTCCGATTTTTTTTATTTTAAAATAGCCATTTAGTTTTTTTTACTGAAATTGACGGATCGATTTCGGTCCATATTATTATAATATACAGATCGATTTTGTGTTGGTCTGTATATATATTATTTCGTACTAGGTTTTTTTAGATAAACTATACGGACCAATTTTGGTCCGTATATATTATTTTGAATCGATTTTGGGTATTTTCGGACCGAAATTTTGGTCTGAATATATGTTTCTTGCAGTAGTGTAAATGACTGAAATATTTCATTTTCAATATAAATTATCAAAGAGTTTGAATGGAATTCATCATTCATTTTGCTGCGAAGTTTCGTTTTCACAATTTTTATGACAAAAAATGCTCTTTCTGTTGTTGTAATTCTAATCCACTAGTCATTTTCTTGTTCATCTCAATCTCAAATTTGAATAGAAGATCTAAAATTTGAAACTTGTATGGAGGTAGCAATTGACAACATAAAACCTTTAAGCACTTAATTAGTTATCAAGATTCCTAAAATAATATATCAGTATGTAGTGGTAGAGCACTTAATTATCTA